GATGTAGAGATAGCATGAATGGCGATTAATGTGTCTTGAACAATCAAGCCTTGTCCAAGACCTTCTTCTTGTTTCCATGATGTTCTCAGTGTCTTAGTCACCTCCTCATGGAGCTTCTTAGTTCTGGCACGAGTCATAGGACCTTCTGGAATGGCTAACTCCTCTCCTTTGGCAATCTGGTCCATGATCACATCATTCCGCGTACTTGATTAGTTGACTAGGTTTGCGATACAAACTACTGAGCTTCTAGTGAACAGACAAATCATGAACAAGTGGAATAAGAGCTTGTAGATTCCGCAACAAGCTTCTTTGAATTATTCCCCAACAAGTGGTATCAGAGCGCTGGTTTAGCGATCAAGGTTTTGTCTAGGCTGAGGCTGGATTGATTCTGAAGAAGTTTAATCAGGGGATTAGTGGTCCTGATCGCGTCACGAGATCAAGTGTAATGAATCAGAGATGATGTTGATGGATATGCAGCATCAGAGAAAGAAGAAGATGATGTTCATGTGTTGTACGCGAAGGAAACATTGGAAACGGAAGAAGGTCCAATCGGATCTAATGGCTTTTTGTTTGTGATATCAGACAAAAGTAATGGACGCTGCTGGGTTTGCAAGAATGGGAAGATCCGAAGACTGAAGCAAGAACAGCTGCACAGCTGTACGCATTCAAGAACAGCGGCATAGTTGAGCGTGTCCGTGGTCTGCATGGTTAGAGATTTATTTGATGGATGTTTAAGATGGAGAATATCTCAAGTTGAAGACATATTCATATTAAGATAAACAAGGCTTAAGGAGATGGAATCAAAGTCAGGTCATCAGTTTCTCAGATTAAATCTTCTGAATAAATGGTCTCATTCCAATGGAGTTACAAGAAAGGTTGTGATGGCTGGTTACTCAGGTTTTGTAACGTGTAAGGAACTGAACCTTTCGGGATCACAAGGGATGTATGTTGTCTTTGAAAAAGATGATCAAGGTTCTGGTCTGGGTCAGATTGTGCGTTGGTCAGGTTTGTTTGTGGAAGAGATATGCAGTGTGGTTTCAGAAAGACTAAATAATGGCAGTTGGTGACACTTCGTTATCTCAGGTCTAGGGGACGCCTTAGAAGTTGAAGATGGTATGTGTGTGCAGAGGCTATTCAGATTTTTATCAGTGGTTCCAGGGTTCGGGTGTGAACCAAAATTTGCAGAGAAGTGTTCAACGTGAGAAGTCGTTCATCAGGTTTGGAACGAGACAGAGTGTTGGTACTTTGAGGCTTCAAAGTCGGTTCGTTTAAGAAGATTTGAGTTGCAGGGTTGCAGGTTCAGTCACAGAGAGGTTAAGGATCAGGTTCTTGTGGTTAAAAGGAAGCTGAAGTAGGGATGACCAAGGCTAAAAGATCACAATAGAGCTTGGAGCAGCACATGTTGATTTCTTGTGGTAATGATGTGAAGAACATATGGTGTTTTCTGTTTTGAGTCAGCACAAGAATATGAGTCAATCTCATTGGGTACATGAGATGTAATGTTTCTGGTTTGTTGAAACATGTTGTATATCCACGAAGAAAGAACTGAAGCAAGGGAAAGTTGTGTAAAAGCCTATACAAGTATATGTTAGAGCAGATGGTCATTTGTGGTAACAACATGTGGTAGCTCTGTTGAGGTCATTTGATTGACAAGAACAAGCCATGGGAATTCGATTCAAGGTTAGAGTTTGCTTGTAGATTCTGGTTAAAAGCAGCGGAAATGCGCAGGCAGAATCCGGTTGAATAGGTTAGGTAACACGTGTTCAAGAAGCACTGTTCACTACAACAGCTAGGAGAAGCGTGTGTGAGTTTATATTAGGAGAATCTTCATGTTGGTCTAAGTCAGAGGTTTCAGAAGAACAGACTCAGAAGAAATAAGGGACAACAGGTTTGGTGTCATGACCAAAGTCGTCAAGGTGGAGCTCTCAGACAAAGAGGCAAAGCTCTGAATCATAAAAAGGATGATGTGTAATCTCCAAGGAGAAAATACTTGCTGGCTTGACAAGTATGGAAATCAGGCTTGTACAGGTCACGGTTCAGGTCTGAGAAGAAGGAGGATGCAAGCACCAATGGTTTTTTGGTGGAATTTGCGCACTGGTGATAGTGCTGCATGATAATTTACAGCTGAAGAAACTCGCCAAGGGCTCGAGTTTGATATGGAAGAAGCTGTAAGGGTGTATCTCGACAACTTACATGAGGGAATTTGCACACTGGTGGTAGTGTTGCAGGACAAATTACAGCTGATAAAACTTGCCATGGGCATGAGTTTGACATGGAAGAAGCTGTAAGGGTGTATCTCGACTGGTTATAGAAGGATGCACGCACCAATGGTTTTTTGGTGGAGTTTGTGCACTGGTGATAGTGTTGCAGGACGAGTTGCAGCTGGTGAAACTTTCCATGAGCATGAGTTTGACATAGAAGAAGCTGTAAGGGTATAATCTCAGGAGAGCATCACATGTTTGGATGATGTGAGATATGGATAAAGGATACTAGTAATGTGCTAAATCTACTGGTAATTGGTTTCTTAGACTCAAGGAATTGAACATGGGACTTATGTCGAAAGTATTCACAAGGTGGAGTTGTGTGGTGTTACATGTTAATATACGAGTGTGTTCAAGGTGGAGTCTTTCTGGACAGGTATCTATTCAAATCAGAGGAATACTCAGGATGGTAACAAGTATGTTTCGGGTTTTCTACATGGGATTCAGTAGAATTTTATTTCTGTATCTCAGGGATATGAGGTGAATTATAAAAGTCTACAAAGATATCATAGTTGCAGATTGGTAATGATTTGTTTGAGCAGAAGTTGAGCAGCGATTTTTTGTATCAAAAGTCTTCTTAGCAGGTTCAGCTAAGAAGTGGGTTTCTTTTGCAAAAGCAGCGGTGCAGAGTGATGTTCAAGATAAGGTGTTCATTCAGGTTACTGTAAAGAGAAATCTCAGGATAACAGTGGGTCTACTGGTTGTTGAGGTTTGTTGAGTCAAAGGATTTTTCTTATTTTGAGGCAGTGGTGGTGCAGGTTCCGTAAGAGTTTCATGCCAGCATCGTCATCAGGGTTTCTTACAGAACTATTGAATTCAAGGTTTGTATCAAAGGTCATCTGATACATAACACGTTTTGAATTGGAGTCACAGGGGCTGATTAAGTCTGGCATTGTTTCAAGGTTGAGGCTGAAGTGTCGATGGTAATAATCAAGTGTATTGTAGTGACTGAAGTAATATGACTACATGTTTTTGAAGACAGGGTTGTTGTGGTTAGAGCTTCAGATATGAAGTTCCAAGGAAAAGCAACAAGGAGTCTTCAGGTTGTATCGAGTTGGATACATGTAGGATGATGGGAGGAAACCTGTTTAAGGAGTACTGACGTTGAGCAAATGAAGCTCAACAGGTGGATGAAGCTGGATGAGCTTTATTCAGAATATGTAAGGCTGAGAAGGTCAGTTCTCAAGAGGCTGCAAGAGATGCAAAAGGTGAGCATGATTTTTTGCTCGGGCTTCAAGAAGTTTTGAAACGACTCTAAGGATTCTCGGAGTGGCCAAGCATTAATGTGTTTGGCATTGTCTGGCAAGTACACAGGATGAAAACATGGTGGCTACAAATAGAACTGATTAATTATCAAGGTGGAGATTATTAAGTTGGTGATGAAGAATCAGCAAATATTGGAAGTTTGAACCGCGTCGAGATTGACAATTGGATTATATGGCGTTTGGTTAAATGGTCGGTTAAATATTACTCAATGGTTTACGGATATTACAACCGGTTATCAGTTGTAACAACCCTTACCTAGTATAAAAGCAAGGCGCATGACTTGTATACTAAGTAGATTAGTATTATGCCTTGCCAGACTCTAGAGACGTATCCACAACGGTGAACTCTGTGACATCAAATAAAGAGGTTTGGTCAAGACGACTGGACTTGTTCAAGTTGGGCTAACTTGCACAAGTCACGCACGTATGATCTATGGGCCTAATCGACAAAGCCCATTATGTCAAGTTCTGATTATATCAGGACGGAGAGGTCACGACAGATGACCTAACACAAGATAGACACAATAAGGAAACACAAAGAAGAGGCACGGAAGAGTGGGAGCTCGAGAGAGCTCGAGACGAGGGTTTGGTCTGAAGTATCAGAGCTAGAGAGAAGAAAGGTTTTCGGTAGCCTAGTTAGGCTCTTTCCTATATACTTGTATCTCTAGGTGATTTGTAATAGAGATCAAGCAAGATTGACAGGAACTTGTAACCTCAGGATATTGTACTCTTGTGTTTGATATAATGGAAGGATTACTCTTTCCGGTGATATATAGCTCCTTCACATTGAAGAAGGGAGGTGAACACTAGGTTAGCAAAAGTGTTTTGTATTCCTTTTTTTGTGCTTGATTCGTATTCTACATACTTGATTAGTTGACTAAGTTTTCGACATAAATTATTGAACTTCTAGTGAACAGACAAATCGAAAAAGTTTTAGACGCTTTACAAAGAACTTAAAACCTGCACTCTTTCACACAGAAACGTGACATACGCAAGAATGCTCATAAGAAAGCTCATCGAGCTATACAAAACTTCTGAAAAAACTACGCACACAATCCGGAAGGCCAACTCCTCGCAAAACACTGCAAAGGAACATACCTCTTCTCAGAGAAAAATTTAGGCAACCTCTCGGTCCAACGTTCTCGATCACAAACCTAAGGGTTTAACATTGAACTGCACTATACAGCGAAAAATGACATGTTGTCTAATGCAGTAACTCTGTCCGACAGAAACAACAATTAAACTTACCGAAACAAATTCAGTTTATATAACTACTAGACAATATGAAGTGACAGGTATTGCTTACAAACAATTAAGACAAATAATTTTATTTCAATAGAGCGACGTAAACTTCTATACACTTGAACAATTTAGGGCCACAACGTAAGTAATAAACAAAAAGATAAAACATTAAGTACAGAAGATCACACCCTTGTTTTTGTGATTGCCCTAGCTCCTAAAAGACCAGAACACACCTTCAATTCTGAAGAGTTCTTACACTTTTTTGTGTTATAAATGTCAACTCCAAGGTTTCCTCATAAATATCTCCTCCATATCTGATTTGCTTGCTTTCAACAAGAGCAAAAACAATGTTCAGGACCAGGCTCAAAGCTACAGAGCAAGTGTCAAAAAGACATAAATGCTATAGTCTTGCAGAACTCATGAGGTTGGAAGTTGGACGAAGAGCTCCAAGATTATGGATGTTTCTGGTAGTCGAAAAATTGGAAGAGAGATGAAAGATGCATTCACATTCGGGTAAAGGGTATGTGTAAATGGAAGTTTTCCGGTTGATCTTTCTGACTCTAGGTACCATCACTCCCTTTCTATCGCTTTCCCCTAGCATCTGTTTCATCTCCTTTCTGAAAACTTCCCAACTGTTCAAGATTCAGATGAAGTATTAGTACAAACTCTTAATCAAATGTAAGAAACCATCTCAATAGTAAGTCTCATTGAAAGACGCCGAATTAATTTTCTTAATTATTTCTTTATCAAAGCTCAACGAGAAGAACGTAAATTTCTTCTGGCATCTATGCCTATACACATACGTTCTCTCTAGAACGATTATAGTATACCTCATTTGCATGTCCTGAAGTAGGAGAACAAGTTTGGGCTTGTCGGGTATGATAGTTTTTGCATGTCCACCGAAGAGGAATCTCCGATGGCCCATCAAAAAATGAGGAAAATTTCCTCCTTGAGTTGTCACAAACACTTCACTTAACAAGCTGACCGTGTAGTCCAGAGCAGCCAACCTGGAGGAATATCCCTATATAACCGGAGAGATAAGATCAGACTTCACATGTCGCGACAACATATCTGCTTAGAATAATAATGACTTTGAAGTAAAACCTCAAAGGGGGCAAGCTCCTCCAGAGTTGCAAGAGACTCTTTTGTGTATAGACGAGGAAACATTTCCTGTAGAGGAGCCAAATGTTTCTTGGGTTGGTAGATTCTTCCCGAGGCCAAATATATGGAAGTGTTGTTATCGAATCCCATACCACGGAGCATCATACCGACCTATGCTGACGTGAAAAAACAGCAATTGGAAGCTCAAGAAAATAATAATAATAGTAACTGAAGATTGCCTCTAAAACTGAAACTGAAATAGTATTTTACCTCTAATGGGGTAAGGGGACATTTTCCAGTAACGCGGTTAAGATCAGGCCTAATGATACGATCTCTTCGTTTAAACTTTCCTTTCCAACTTTTCTGCCGAAAAACATCCATTTCAGATTTTTCAGCTCTTCCTCCTTCATAGAGACAACAAGAGAAGGCCACCATGTCCTAAAAAACGAAGGTATTCTTTTCATATATATTAAACAAAACTAATATTGAGGTAAACCAGAAGAAAATTTACCTCCTCAAATCGAAGGTGGACTGCGACATACTTTCCCCCGGTCTCTGAGCTTTTCTCAACCATCCGATCGACTAACTTTTCAGCTAGTGTTGATATGGGTAAAGAGAACTTCAAAGCTTTGTAATTAGCTATGCACCTTAAAAGTTGGATATATGGTGGAACACTCATCGCCAATCTATTTGCGAAAGGAGAAATCCGTATAACCCTGAGTTGAATAAACAACCCCCTTTAAGAAACACAAAAGAAGTTAAGAAATCATATAACAGATTCAAGAGTAAAAAAGTAAACCTACCCATGTTCCTTTAACACTGGATAGACTTCCCCATTATAATACTTCACAGTAGCCCAAGCTTGAACGCGAATAGAAGGTATACTTGTAAGGTTGTAATCAAAACGAGCCATAACCTCATCCGGGACATGTCTCACAACTTTCACATATCCGTCGAGGCTAGATATGAAATGATCTTCGTCATAGATATCCCCAAAGGTGCTGCCACAAAATTTGCAATTCTTAGTCCAATATATTTTTGACAAGACTTGAGAAAAGTAATGCAAATTTTTTGGCTTCTTACCTTGAATCCTTCCAAATGGCGTGAAATTCAAACTCCGGTATGACTAAGACTGCGTTTAAGAGTCCCGCGACAGCCACAGCATTGCAAATCTGAAGCAATTGAAAAACATAAAGCAAGAAACCAACTTAGGACATAGTGGTCTAATCAAATCAATGGGTTTATAGTTAAAAAAAAAAGGAGAAGAAAACAAGAAGGTGATACCGCCGAACGTTGCTGATTAAGACCGCCATTTGCCTCCACAATCAAGTAACCACTAAACGTAAGAGCAGATGATTCTGGATAATTGCATCAAACACATTGTGAGCAAAGCTTTAAAAACTCTTCGTATGAGTACATCAGATTTGTTTAACGAAGAAGAAAACTCTTGAATGATCTTATTCTTAGGCGATCCCATAAACTGGGAAGTCAAACGATTTAATAGTTTCAGAATCTAAGGATATTGGTTTGGCTCCTTACCTCCGTTAAGACCAAGATGTGATGTAGCTGTCGAATTCGGACAAGGTTTTTGCACTTTTGGTCTCCTTTTAAATTTCCACACAGAAGAAAACTGGTACCATAAAGAGAAAGAAGCATTGACATACAAAATCAGAAAAACAAAAAGAGGAAATTTTGTTTTTTTTTTTGGTAACTGTAGAGACCTCGACGTCGGTGGAATTGTCAGCGAGAATGTCATCTCGGAGTTTCCGGTAAATCTCGGGGCTCCGATAAACAGACCCGGGAACATAGACCCACCCGACAAGACCCGAGAAAGGACCGACACACATGAGAAGCCCAGAAGCGTAAATCATAGGAAGGAGAAGCAAGTAACGAAGCTTTCTCCGGACAGAGAAAGAAGAAGCTCTGAAAAGAGAGTGCCGCCGTTGACGACGAGGGACACGGCGGTTCGGAGATAAAGGTGGGCTTGGAGACTCACTTCGGCAACCATTATCGCTACCTACAACACTGTTATTGCTATTTTGTTGGTGGTAGATTTTGCTTTTCATCGGAGACAAAAAAAAAACCTTCGATTTTTATTAAAAATAGGTTGTGGATTAGAGAGATCTCATGGAGTAGCTACAGAGATATGTTGGGAAGATGGATCTGTGGAAACTTCAGTACATTGAAGTTCTCTTTTTCTGTTCTGACGCACAAAGACAGTGAGATTCTTAAAGAGGCGAAACATGATTACACTTGGAATAAATTTAATCATCTATACTATTATTTAAGAAGTAAATTTGCTTAGTTGTCATGTTCTCCATAAGTTTAGGTAATTTTATTTATTTATTGTATTTTTAATATTTATATACTTTATTTCTAAATAAAACGAATTTATATGAATATATCATATTTTTAGAAAGTAAGATAATTCTTGTGAATTATGTTGTTATCTTGAAATATATTTTATATATAAAAATTAAATTAAAAAGTTGTTGTTATTCTAAAATTGAAATAAATTTACACTAATAATATTATATTCTTAGAAATAAAATAATATATGCATTATATTTTTATCTTAAAATATGTTTTTCTATTATAAGTTTTAAAATTAAAATATAAATATTATAATTAAATATAAATCAAGAAAATAATTATAGAAATATATTCTTTTAAATATTTCTGATGTCTGAGTTTAGTCATTGATAATTATTCGATTTTTGATTTTTACTTTTTGGATATAAAAATAACAACTTATATGCTAATTTTTTGATTAATGAAACATCAACTAATAAATATTCATAAGAAAATTATGCCCGCAAGTGCGGGCAAAACACCTAGTTTTATATATTTTATATCTTTTTCCAGTTATCTGTCAAATTTTCTTGTTACTGTTAAGATTCACTAGATTTTTGAGATATTATTTTTGTTGTTTTATCTAAAGATTAAAGATGAATCTATAAGTTTTTGGTTTTAATGATATACAATGTCACGGAATCAAAATCAAATTATTATGTGGATATGAAAAAAGTTTTGTTTTATAATGTCTTAGATATTTTTTTTTATGTTTCCAAATAAGTTAACAATGGTTGTACACTTGTACCTAAAATGTGTAGTTGAGAAAGATTGTATATTTAATAATTAAATGGTCCAATTTTTTTTAGTATTGTGATTAATTAGTAAAATTATTTAGTTACAAAATTTGAATCGCTCAGTCCGGTACGCCTCGTCCGACCCGCAACGGGTTGAGTCATTTTTTTCTATTCAAAAATTTGATTCGTCTGATCCGCAAAAAAAATATATTTTTGCAAGTTTTTTTTATAAAATTTATAAGAGAATCAGCCCACTAATGAAACCCTTTAGTATATAATTCTTTATCAGATGCATTCTTGTTCATCTACCGCAAACATGGAGCTTTCATCTTCGTAATAGTTATGTTGTTGATCTAATGTGTATGGGAAATATTCATTAACATATATATCAATCTATTACTTGTCTTTCAAAATGGTTCTCTGGAAAAGTATGATCTCTTGTTCTTTCTTGTTATAGAAGCAAATCGTATACCAAAATCAAAGCATATAACTCATAGTTGATACATTCTAGATTTGCAATATAAGAAAAAGGAATAATTGAAATTCGGCCTCAACATTAATGTTTTTAAATGTGTATTAATACTATATTACCAGGAACATCTTTAGATGATCCAAATTTATATTGTGAACTCGTTGAAAGCCCTCACACTAGCTGAACTAGCTGAGCTAGCTGGGCGAGCTGACGATCCCATTGTTTGGTCTTTAAATAAACTGACTGGCATTGCTCGTCTTCCACTAAAGTAGAGTATCATTCACTGCTCTATACAATAACATACATTTAATTGGTTTTATTGAAATTGTTTGAGCTCGGCGTCAAATCTACATCAGCTCCGGTGATATATTTGATAATATGAAAGTTATGTATTTGGTGGAAATCATATATTTCACTCAAGAATGAAGCACCTAGCTTTACACTATCACTTTGTAAGACATTACATTTAAACAACCAGCTCAGGGTCTCTCACTTCTTATCGATCAACTTATTGATCCTCTGACAAAACCACTACTTCAAGCTATATTGGAATTTATATCGATCAAAATCAAACTCTCTAAGACTCGTCCATAGTGAGATAATTTGTAAAAGATATGGAAAAAGTATATTAGACAAGACATAATTAGGCTTTTATAGTTCCTTCTTTATTATTGTTTAGTAAATTTTTTCTCTTATATATATATACTATAAATTAATTTGAAAATTAAAATAAATATCAATCAATTATTATTCTATATTTATTTTATAAATATACATGCCCGTGTATGAGCACGGGAAAATCACCTATTATATATATATATATATATATATATATATATATATATATATGTGTGTGTGTGTGTGTTTAGTTCTATAAATAAAACTAATAAGTAGAAAAGAATATCTATAAAATATTTTAGTTAATGGGAAGACAGTTTGGGATGGTTGGAGTAATAATCTCAGTTAAATACTTTGTTAATGGATAATGAGAAAATATATGGGATTCCCAACTTTTAATCAATACAAGAAAACATAAGTATATCGACTAATTTCATTGTTAATTCACGGTCACAAATTTGCAACTTATTATCAATAAATCATAATTTATCGTTAACTGAGCAGTGTAATATCTAGTTGTGGTAAGTTTGTTGTTAATTTTCTAAGGACTATTTTTGTTGTAAATTTTTCATAAAAGCGTTTGTCGTAATCTTGACGTAATTCTTGCGGAAGAATCCTTTATGTCTAATAATTGTTAACGATAGACGTAAGATAATCGTTAATATAACAATGATTTATAACTAATGCAAATCACTGATAAAATCCTCTATATCCCAGTAAAATCATAGTTCTATATAGGGTATGTATTATTGATAAAATCCCGTTATCCAACTCGATAATCATAGTTCTATATAGGGCATCAATAATCACTGATAAAATCGAGGTGGATAACGGGATGTAATTCTTGCGGAAGAATCTTTTATTAGAGGTGGGCACAAATCAAGTATTTGCTATTTTTGACGTATTTAGTACTTCGTTTGGCTTGTTCGAGTAATATAATTTTGGATTTGTACTTGGTTTATTAAAAACGAGTATTTGTACTTTCAATACTTGCTAAAAATGGTATACTTGCAAGTACTTACTCCGTTTTACTACTTGTTGCTTCTGGACTAATTTACAAATTATTATTTGTAAATTGTTTAGTAATAGTTATTAATTTTAGCTACTTAAACCTTGTATATGATTTTTTTTTTAAAAAAAATTAGTTATAATTATAATCTAAATAATTTTTAATAAAGAATATTTTTTTTTACTTTTCATATGTTTTTAATCGATATATGATAAATAGAAAATGAAAAGAAAACTCTTAAATATTTCTATAATATATCACTTTTAGCTCATTTATTTTCTAAACAAGTAATTTGATAATAATTTAGAATTTTTTCCTCTAAAAATAAAAAATGGATAATAAGTCAAATAGTAAGTTACGAGTAACAAGCCAACAACGCCAAGTAGTTATTTTATTTTAGTACTTGGTACTTATCTTGTACTTGCAAGTAATTGAAATAAACGACTTGATACGCGACTTGGACAAAACGAATACTCGACTTTAAGAGTTAAGTACGAATCAAGTAGCAAGTACAAGCCGAATAGCAAGTAATTGTTCCCACCCCTATCCTTTATGTCCTAATAAATCACTTGTATCATTTATAACTAATGCAAATATTTTAAATGAACGATTTAGTCCACCTCTTTTTGTAGTGAATGTACCAAATTTATTCGCATCATTTTAAATCTTCTTGATATATCGCAAACACATCCTATTCTTCTTACAAATTTTTTTCGCATCGTTTTAACTCTTCTTGATATATCGCAAACACAGCCTATTCTTCTTACAATCTGTAACAAATTTCACATGTAACTTTTGGAAGGTTTTCATGCATTTCATTACCCAAATAAACACCTCAAATTCTGAGTATAATGGTGAGAGACTGTTCCTAATGTTCATGTCTCCCATCAAACTGTCAACTTCAAGGGTACTATACTACTCATATCTCAAAAGTTCCCACCATCTTTCCATGAGGCATCCGCATAACACCATTTTCCTACTATAGTATTGCCATTTGGGCTGTGATAATGTACCTTGTGATTTCATCTTAGCTTCATTCCAAAGCGTCGATTATGTCTTATCTATTTGAAGAGTATCACGAGATATTTATCTACGTTATTTTATAATTTATCATTCTTAACTTTCCAACTATACCTTAAAATCTAAGCAAAATGACGTTACTCAAACTGTGATGGGATTCATCAAAACAAATAATCCAAGTTGGCAAAAATGATAGCATCAAGAATCTCCCTTGGTTGGTTTGAATTTTTTAATAAAGACCATATTTGTACCATCACGAGATATTCACAGAAAACATGATTGGGTCTTATTGGATTTGGGCCAGGGTTAGTAAATCTTCAAAGAAAAAATATAACCTATTGTACTTTCGGATTCAGGTCCCACTTGATTCTTCAGTTTAAAAGTATCTTGTTTTACCTACTTTGTAACCAAAACATAAGTAAAATCGTTATTTCAAATATAAATTACCTGATTTGTATCTTTTTTGTAACCAAAATATAAGTAAAATTGATTGAAAAATAAAAAAAGAAACATTAAACTTTATCATTGAAAACCAAACGAAGGTAAATATAATTATTGATAAAATTAAAACCAAATAAATGAAAGCTCAAAACAAAAACCAAGTTCTTAAGAAATGAGAAACTTTATTAAATAAAAATAAAACCTAAATTTAAAAACTTCAAGTTTCGACCGCCACTTTCAACCATCAATCTTCATGTAACATAAAATTATTTTAGATATTCACTAATATCACAAAGTATTTTGGATACATATTAAAAATTGGAATCATGTTTAGTACATGTTCTTTTTTGGGATTTAGAATGTTTCAGATTCTATCGGATATCCATTTAGTTTTGGGTTCGGTTCGAATTATACCCATTACTCAAAATATCATAAAACAAGATCTATTTGATATTTATATCAGATTAGGATAGGTTCAAATTCATTTTTATCAGAACAGATTCGATTCGGATTTTCAGTTTGGTTTATTTGTCCAACACTAGTT